TCTATGAAACCTATGTTATTCTGCGGGCACCACTTAGACATCCAGCCATTAGGCGCGTTTCCATTACAGATTTGCGCAAAACTTTGGCGATATTTTATAAATGTCGATACAAAAGTATTGCGAAATGACGGCGTTTCCATTAACCAATGTTATGAGACTTAAACGTAACCTTTTGCCTCTCGCGATAAGTCATGGCAACGGATTTTGGTTGGATTTTGACGGATTTTGGCTATATTTATTCAAAGGAGGCTTATGTGTGTATCTTTACAGAAGCAGCAAAGAGAGCCGCTTCAGAAACGTGCGTGGCGCGGCTGGAATAAACCATAGACTGTATAAAAATATAAACACAAGCACTGAGTGGCCGCAGTCAGATTCAGTGACCGTATCAGAGCCACAGTGCACCGCAGACGTGTGCAGTGTAAATTGTCTAAGCATTAATGGTAGGGAAAGCCCCTTATACTGGAGCGCGGCCACTTATGAAGTGTTTCTTGGAGGTTATAGTACGTTGAAGAATGATCATATGACTTTTTACATATGCCATGTGACCTGTAAATGCGAAAAAGCCGTTTCCATTGCAGTTTTGCGAATTATTCCTTTTTCGCATTGCCTGAAAAACCACCTCATGCGAGCGTAAAAACTTTTTTGCGATATATGGGCGTTTTTGCGAAATTGACGCGTTTCCATTAGGCGTATTTTCAATTCGCAATTTCAATTTGCGCAATTTGAAGGGTAATGGAAACGCGCCTACTGTGAAATAAAATATCATCATGTTTTTAAAAAGAGTGGCTTGATTAAGTGGTGGAAATAGCGGATGATGGGAGAACGGTAACAAAACTCCGAGACATTTACAGTAGTGTGCAAACTTTACTACATGGAAATGTTTAGAAAACTAAAATAATTCACGTTCACGTTTTTAGAAAATATTTATTGAAATTATTAGTTTTTTTATATTATATTATACATCTAATAAATAATTGACCTCAAAAAGGCAATTCACGAGCAATAACTGCTTCATTTTTTCATATTAGCTATATATTATATTATATTATTATAAAGAATTGAACTCTGCGTGAGATTTTTTTTTTAATGAATTTTAATTAGAATTTCTTGGGGAAAAAACACAGCACTGTACAAATGTTTTCTCAGGTATCATTCACTATAATTTAGTTACATCAAGGGTCAAATCAAATATAAATAGCGCATTACAGTTAAAAGTTACACACTTTTTTGTGTATGCTGGACAGGTCTGGTATAAAGAATATTTTTACTCAGGTGGACGAAATGTCCGCCCAATAGGGAATTTTTGGGGGGAACATTGAGGGAACATTGCTGATGCAGTTATTGCAAAGCTTTGCCTTTACAAATCAGTTATGTCCAATAGGGGGCATAATCCAACAAGAAAAAGATAACCTGAATAGGTTATACCACTGGTTTGTACAACAACAACAAAAAATATGTAAAATGAATAAATATTTCAAGTTCTTCACATTTTTTTTGTTTGCTTAGCAACTTTATTTATCATTAAATTAAATTAGATTAAAATAGTTTATTTATATGACTGTACAGATGGTCAGATATCCTTCTATTGAAGCTCAAGTTGCTCTTTGGATCATCTCAAATCGTGTGTGTGTGTGTGTGTGTGTGTGTGTGTGTGTGTGTGCGTTATTAAATATGTTAAGAATGTTATTTTTGTTGTTCAATATAAATAACACTCCATATTGAACAGACTAAATATTACACCAACATATTTTTGACAAACATTACGTTTTTCCTATTCTTTCTGGCTTCTTTACTGAAAACAATGCAAGGCAGTATAGCTTAACCAGATACTCTAAAATATTTGATCCCTTTAATTTGATATTTAATTTTTTTTAAATCATACAAATTTGGACTCATAATTCCAATCCTACTGAATATTAATTTGGTGTAAGAAAAACTTCTAGAAGTAGATGGCTGTCTAAAATCTTCAGAACATGAGGAAAAAAATGTCACTGTATTTGTGAAATAGCAGAATGTGCTGGCACATTCTTTCCTTTCATGCCTCTCCTTTTTTATATAATACTTAATTTATTAAATTTATTTATTTTTAATTTAAACTTAATTACAGAGTCTTTTGTGTGTGTCAGCATAACCGTTTTTCAAAAAGTGTGATCAGTCTTCTTCTGTAGTTGAAAAAAAGAAAGAAAAATGATGTAACTTTAAAAAGAAAAGCAGATGGTATGCATCTGTTTGAGTGTGTGTGATTATATTAAAAAAGTGTAAAAGTGTTATAGGGTTTGGTTATCATTAAATAAATTTTTATTTATTCTGCTGGCATTGGCTTTAACTGTAATCTTAATTTTATTCTTTTTATTTTTATTTTTATCAAAATCACTTTTATTGAGAGACAAAATTTCCACTTCTCTGCAAAAGCACAATCACAAAACTAACCCTGGACATTTCTTAAACAACTATTTTATAGTCTTCTGATGGATGATCTGGTGTGTACTTGCCATGTAATTTGCTTGTAGTTGGCGTCCTAGTTTTGAATTAGGATTCAGGCAGACTTTTATGTGAGGTTTCTTCAAAATCACACTGTGGGCAGAATATAAAGCATTTAGTTTACACTGATCAAATATCTGTTGATCACACATTGTTTAATACACACACAAACATCATAAAAGCATTCTGAATAAAACAAATTGCATTACATAATCTCAGTGGTGTCACAGAATGCACTTGGTTTGTGCACTTTCCACTCCTTGATGTTTCCAGGCCACAGACTGTCATATGTTCTGGAGCACAGGCATTGCTTGCTTATGAACATCCATTGACCTACAAGCAGAGATAAAGCAGTAAAAAAAAACCAACAACATTGGAATAAAACAAGATGCTATACCCTATCTGGATGTTGTTACTTGAGAGCAAAATATCTAACTTATTCTTTAGGTGAGTGACCTGCTGCTCATGTATTAGACCTCTTATGCCAAAAAATTAAAAATTCCTCACAAATAATGTGTTCAAAACAGATAATTGTTACAAATACATTCAAAGTAGGTAAACAAGGTCTGCCCTGTGGTTTAACCCCTTAACTGTCACTCACATTTTTTAACATAGACGTGAAAGTGCACGATCCAAACTTACATTTTTATAATTCATGAACGAAAACATTTTGTAACATGATATTGATGTACCATTTTCATGGTAATGCAATGTTTGATTTTAAAATGGGTTTCAAAGGATGAATTTTGAGATTTAAAGTTTTCAATTGATATATAATTTCTGATGATTTCTAAAGTGTGATAGAGAAAAAGGCAACAAAGAAGACTTTTTTTTTTACAAAGGTCAGAACTCCTGTTATGATGTAGATTTTTGAGGTGCACTCTTGTCAAAAATTAATCTATTACTTTTCCTACATAGATATTTTATCAATGTTTTTGTTAAAAAAATATTTAGGAGTCTTAGACCTTTCCAACGATATATAGTTTGTCATGATTAGATTAGGATTTAATTGTAATATAGTGAAGTAAACTTAGGCGTCCCACAGAGGGGACAGGTGACAGTTAAAGGGTTAAAGTATTCTACTTAATATCTAAATACAAATATGTTTACATATGGCCTAATGGCCAATGACATTAAACCATTTTCAGAAATATCTCAGTGGTCCTCGATCTTTCTTAATTCTTCAAGAGGCATGTAGAGCATAACTTAGAAAAAGCATAACTTTAGCTGTTGGAAATAAACACTCAAACGTACACTCATAAAGCATTTACTTAAAATAGTCTTTTGTTAAGGACAAAAATGAAAAAAGGGCAAAAATGTTGACTCTATGCATCTTTGTGTGTGATACTTTTTAATTATAAAAAGGTATAGGTAAAAGTGGGGTCCTTTGAAAAAAAAAAGTTTCTGAAAGTAATTTTCAGATGCAACGGGGAAAAAAACGGGATAAACACAAACATGAAACTTGTAAATAAAATAATCTGATATATATGTACAATTTAATAACATATAGCCTAGTTTGATATATGAATTGGGTGTTCGTCAAAGATTGCATGCGGTCGGAGATTCCCGTGTTTACAGCTCCATAAAATAACCTACTGGAAGCTCTGTAGTTTTGCTGTATAGGCCTATAGATAAAAAATATTAAAGTTACAAACACACAACATTTTGAGCTACTTCCATTACTGAAAAAAAGAATGTAGGCCTAGTAATTGATGTTATAAATACACACGCCTGATTTTTGTTTTAATTATCCATCGTACATAAAAAAACAACAACAAAAAACATTTGCAATCAAGACAAAAAAGCCAGAAGTGAATGTAAACCAGATTTGGCCCAGACTCTGTTGCTATCTGGGAAGCCAAGCATAAGAATAGCCTACTAACGTAAATTTGTTAACCCACAGTAACAAATTTTAACAGATTAATCGCATATTTTCGTTTGCTGCATGCTTTTAAAAACACAATAAAAAAAACATTTTTTTATAATAATAACGGCAGGCCTAATAATGTTATAATGTACCAACATTATGAACACTATAGGATATTTTAGTTCCCCTCACTTTACAACAAATCCTTTAAATTTAACCGTATCAGAACAGAATAAGAATTTAAAAATATATCATTCTAATGGATAAATATAATTGCGGTATATAATAATATATGCTTAGCAATAAACATGCCAAAACAAATTAATTTATAAAGAAACGTAAGGTAAAGTTGGGCTTACTTCTCTCAGGCACAAATCCAAATGTGTCCATATTCGCGATCTAGCTGAAGCTAAACTATTAGCCTTATTAGGTAAAATAGGCTCTGTAGTTCACGCGCGTTCCAGTATCGACGGAAAAATGTCATGAGCAAAAATCTGCCACAGTGGGCCGGGTCTCACGCCGAACAGCACGGGGAACGGATGCGCTGTTTCCAATGAATGCAGTAGCTTAGTGTGCGCGTGAGGCGCCGGCGCGATCAAACAGCTGAAACATAAAATAGACTACTCCGTAATTTTTGGTCATACAGTAAAGGCATAATTCGAAAGGGCAAAGTGTTACCAGTTTGAAAATTCAAGAATAATAGCAAAGTTAATAAGAATTCTTTCTAAATGCAGCACCGTTCTTATTTCGCTCTGCATAACCTGAACGGAAAAAAAATTTTTTTTTGGCTAAGAACGAACCGAAATGAAAACATTTCGCTTTTAATCTGTGTATTTAACAGCCTGGGAAACCTTCCCAGGGCAGTACCTTGCCTCACCGACTAAAATCAGGGTGCCCACTACGGAGACGGCACCAGAGGTGAGGGGGCGCAGTGACCGAGGTGGCCGGGCCGTGATGTAGCCTATAGCCTATTAGCTATTATTATACAGTTGACTAGCCTATATGAAGCAGAAGCTATTGTTCAAGCCACAAAAAGTAAAAGATACACAATACACAGTCTTTCAGCCTAGCGTTTAGTCATTATGTACATTAATAACAATTTGGGACAAATTAATGTAATTTAATGGAAAACTATGTGAGTGGCGGTCTGAGCGGCAGGATTTTGAACAGCCCCCTGATTGTCTAAAGAGGCGCTGCGCTACTCGTCCGGTGCGCAGCCCCCTTTATGAATGTGTGTGATATGGTCCTTGTTATCTTATTGCACTGAATGATGATTACTTAATTGCATCTGGACAATGGACAATAATAGAAAGTTTGTACAGCTAGCACTTTTGCTATTGCTTCCTAAAGATAAAACGCTAGCTGTTGTTCCCAGTGGCGGCGCTGTGCTTGACTGGGCTATAAACTTGCTTAGCCCCGGCATATGCAGCCCAACACCAACAAGCAGGTGGCAACACCAAAGCAAGCCCCCATGCACAGTTTTTGGGGATTTATGGTCTGACATACACAGTTGTGTTCACAAATATTGTATTACCATTAAGTAATCATCTATACTGTTTAAAATGAAAAATAAATAACATTTCAATATCCATCATTGCACCAAGTCAATACACAACATAAACTTCTAAGTTATAAATGTTTCTGAGCTTAGAAATACAATAATATCAAAGCACTGAAACTGGATCAGTTTTGAAAACAATGTGATTTTCTGTTATTAACAGAGGTGGGAATGTCTGTAATCATCCAGAACAAACTCTATCAACCATATACTCTAGCAACACCCCAGCAACTGCATAGCAAGAGCCTAGCAACCACCCAGAATATCCTAGCAACCAACTAGCAACACTTTAGCAAACATCTAGAACATCTAACTGACCAAACCATTTACGTTTTTTAAACAAGACTTTAAGACAAGCCAGCATACATTTGTCTTTCAAACTTTTCAATCTAGTTATTACAGTTTTTCTTACAGGTTTTTTTCATCTGCTCACACACATTTTCAAAACTTTGCCTCTTTTTTTCAATATAAAAATTAAAGAATTCACATTTTCTCATTTTATTTGCATTATCTTATTATTTTAGTGGTTAGAATAAGTACGTTTTGGGCTAAATTAATTATTTAAGCCCCATATCCTCGCGAGTCGCGAATGATTCTCAACTTGAGAGGACATGAGAGGACTCTCTTTTCGTTATTTTCCCGCTTTAGCAAGTTAACAAATATTTGTTGTTTTCTTTATAAACCCACTAATAAAAATGTGGTGGACTGAGTCATTTCTCAGTCTGAAGTTCAGGATGGAGAGGAGTCTGTCGTCACAGTAGCAACTCTTAAAAAATAGCTTATGTGGAAATAGTTTTATGAATTGTCGGCACTTTATCTATTGTAAAAGAATTGTTAGAATTTACTATGTTTTCCTGCCAGATGGCATTGAGAGTGACTGACACTTGATGGTCAAAAATGAGTAAATAGATGTGTAAAAAAAAAAAAAAACACAATAAAAAAATAAATAAAAATAACAAAAGAAAAAAAATCCCTACTTTCTCTCTTTTCTATGTGCGTTCATAAATTGTATTAAAGTGTCATGTTTGGCAGTTGGCATTAGAAGTTATATTACTAATAACAGTGGCATGAGAATTAATACCACAGAAAAAAAATGTAAAATATGCCTTTTTCGAAGCTGCTGTATATAAAAAAACACAAGGTGGCTGAATTTGCATGCTTAGATAGCTGAAGCTATGGCATTCATTACTTTCTCTCAATTTAATTGTGACCCTGGACCACAAAACCAGTCATAAGCGTCAATTTTTTGAAATTGAGATTTATACATCTGAATAAATAAGCTTTCCATTGATGTATGGTTTGTTAGGATAGGACAATATTTGGCCGAGATACAACTATTTGAAAATCTGGAATCTGAGAGTGCAAAAAAATCAAAATACTATGAAAATCGCCTTTAAAGTTGTCCAAATGAAGTTCTTAATGCATATTACTAATCAAAAATTAAGTTTTGATATATTTACGGTAGGACATTTACAAAATATCTTCATGGAACATGATCTTTACTTAATATCCTAATGATTTTTGGCATAAAAGAAAAATCTATAATTTTGACCCATATAGTGTTTTTTTTGGCTATTGCTACAAATGTACCGAAGCGACTTAAGACTGGTTTTGTGCTCCAGGGTCACAATTAGTTTTTTAGTACCCCCTCTGAACTGTTAAGCCTCCCCTTAGCACCCACAACAGCAAAAAAATCCTGGAGCCGCCACTGTGTGTTCCTAATTTGTAATTCACTTTGGATAAATGTGTCTGCTAAATAAATAAAAGTAAATGTACAAGCCTAGGCCTAATGTCATTAAAAGCAAGCTGAAATGCAAGATAAGGTGTGAAAAAGGTCTTACCCTCAGTGAACAAGCAGATCAGAAAGACCAAGGACAGGAGAAAGATGGACCGGCTCATGTTTGACCAATGTGATAACAGACTGAGTGAATCTGAATCTGAAAGCTTATATAGACTATTCTGGGAAATCCCTTTGATTCTCATTGTCAAAAATGACATCATCCTTATAGCTTGCATTATGTTGCAAAGTCATACCAACCCTTAATTGAAGAACTAACTAAAAATGTGTGTGTGTGTGTGTACACGTGTTTTTCTATCCCGGTGGGGACTTAAACCTGAATACACACTGACTCATGGGGATTCGTGTCACAAGCTTATAAATCATACAGAATGAGATTTTTTTTTTTCAGAATGTAAAAACGCAGAAAGTTTTCTAGGTTTAGGTGTTGGGTTGGTGTAGGGCGATAGAATATACGATTTGTACAGTATAAAAATCATTACACCTATGGAGAGTCCCCACAAGGACAGTAAACCAGACTGTGTGTGTGTGTGTGTTTAAATAATATTTGACATATGGATGTTTCAGTAAAGCATGTACAAAACATATTCTGTTTTGTTTGTTTGTTTTTTTAAAGGACACTTAATCTTAATATTTGTGTGGATTTTTCATCTGAATCTGTGTTTTTGTGTAATTTTTCCTGTATATTACCTTAAAGTTTTCACTAAAAATAGTCTAAAACAGTCAGCCCAGCAACAAGACAAAGTACAACCATATTACAGTCATATTAATACAAGGTGCTCTGATGCCATTTTCACTAGATGTGATAAATGAGATGCGAATGATGCTAAAAGAGAGCTAGTCTGCAGCGAAGAGTACTTACAAGAGACAGGGGCGCTGTAATGGGGGGGAAGAATAGGACAATTCCAAGGGCCCGACGAGGGGGACCAAAACACAAGATCTTGAGTGATTTAATTTCTTCTTTTACCTCAGTCTGTTTCATCTAAGGCTGTGACTGAAGTCAGTTGTAGTTTTTGTATTCTTCAGTGATTCAGCTTGTTAACAGCAGGGGTTCATCACTAATGCTCAATTATTTGCCACTTAATTCAATGCTTAATTATCTCATTAACTTTAACTCTGCTTCATTGTTACTTTAACACTGTAGATTGCGACAATATGTATGTATGAATGAATGAATGCGGCATTTATTGTGTATTGCTGTACACCCAAAGCGCTTTACAATCATATGAGGGGGTCTCTCCTCAACCACCACCAGTGTGCAGCATCCACTTGGATGATGTGACGGCAGCCACAGCACAACGGCACCAGTTCGCTCACCACACACCAGCTACAGGTGGAGAGGAGAGAGAGTGATAGAGCCAAATCAGTGAATGGGGATTATTAGGAGGCCATGATTGACAAGGGCCAGTGGAGGGAATTTGGCCAGGACACCAGGGATACACCCCCACTCTTTAGGAGAAGTGCCATGGGATTTTTTAAATTTTTTTAATGACCACAGAGAGTCAGGACCTCGGTTTAACGTCCCCATTATAGTGTCCCCATCACTACACTGGGGCGTTAGGACCCACACAGACCACAGGGTGAGCACCCCCTGCTGGCCTCACTAGCACCTCTTCCAGCAGCAAC